TCATTGTCATTGTCATTGTCATTGTCATCATCGGATAACAATTTAATTTCTCGGTCCAAACTTATACTTTTTGCCTAAAAGCAAAATTTTTAATCGAAAAAAAATTTGAGCAAATTCATTTTAATTCCAATTTATATTAGCATTGATTCATTCAAATAGACCTTTTTGATGAATATTAAATTGCATATTGGCATTTTAAAATATTTGCAGAAATCTTATTTATGAATTACTATTACTGTAAAAGTTAAACTAATTATTTGTTTTTGCTGAAGAAATTAATATCACTAATAAAATTTTTTCATTAATTTACTCAAATAAGCATTAATTTTTTATCATTCAAATAAAAAAGATTAAAGCTTTGGAAAAAAATACAAGAAATTTTACTACTAAAAGCATTTTCCTCAAAATACTGCTTTGTTTCTGATCGCCTGGAAAAGCTAAAACTTTTAAATGCTTAAAAACCTGTGTCATAGTTTCTTCAGATTCACTTTCATATATTAATTCATCATCAGACGATTCATCACTAGTATACAGTACTCGACCTTTTTCATCTCGGGGCTTATTAATCGTTGCTTTCTACAATTACACGCACTAATATTTGAAAAAATCGTTAAGTAATCATTTTAGTATTCTTTGATACAACCAATCCCCTTGCTAACAACAACAAAAATTCAAAATGCACACAAATATCAACATTATTATATGATAAGCTATGCAATTCTGTTCAGAAAAATTATATTTGAATAATTTTATAAAACTTCGTTTTCTATATTGAAAGCGCTGGAATATGCTTGAAAGTGAGCAGTCTCAACTCTATATTCAAAAAAACAAAAAGCCAAATTTGAATATTTTAATCAGTTCCTGAAACTCTGTCTTAGTAACTGAAAAACTGTCTTGTCTTGAAACTGTCTTAATTCTATACAATTTGGAAGCTTATTTATAGCTTTGCTAAACACTTTGACAAATCAATTGCTGCTCTTTTTGAATTAAATTTTGCAAATAGAAGAAAAATATTCTTACCTCTCATTTGTATACATCAAAATAAATGCATACCTGTGTATCTTGAGGTAACTGCCACAAATCAGGCGGCGTGGATTGGCAGTATCTTGTTAGATGGCCACTTTTTCCACAGATCCAACACGATTCCGACTTATTCTTAGAAATTAAAAAACTTTGCAAAATATTTAAAAAAATTGACAAAATTGTTTGTTGCTAATTAATTTACCTGACTTTGGCTGAAACTTTTTCCGTGCACACTACTGCCTGGATTACCTCCCGCTTCATTGCTTATATGTGACACTTAATAAATAAAGATCATTGTCATAATTGAAATGATAGATCAAGAATCTATACTAGTATGCCTATTTGTGAATATAGCTATAATGTTATAGGTATTTGCAAATCTCAGTATTTATGCAATGTGCAAATAACCATATTATAATAATATAGTGAATCTTCGGATGCAATTAATTTCATACTATTTGATAAAAATATGATTATGCTAATTACCAGAGTTCATAAAATGTTAACTATAGCTTACCTGTAGCTTTAGTTGCTGCTTTTGATATTTTATTTGTTTTCTTCGATTCATTTTTCTTATCTTTCTTCAAAAATTTTCTCTGTGCAATAAATAGATAGATACGTTTAAATACATTGGTTGTTATGCATATTATGTTCTATTACTATACTGCTTTATCTTCAAGAAACTATGACACGTAATATTACATATCATTTACAAAAGGGACAAAATAAATCTCTTCTCTTTCTATTTTTTAAATGTAATTTATTCCTGTACAACCTAATTAAATAACGATAATATTTAGCATAATATACAACAAGAAGGAATGATTTATTGCATTTAAAAACCTTAGAGATAAGTTTTACAATCACTTAAAAGCTTAAATATTCTAAACTGCGACGGAAAATAAAAATGAAACAAACTGAAATAAACAAATAATTAATTAATTAATTACGTTGAACGTTATTTTTGTATTTATATCAAGCTTTCAAGATGACTGAGTGATTACATGAAGATCAGAACAAAGTACTGACTAACCTTAAACGATGAAGTGCTTTTGCAGAATGTCTCAGACTTCTTTTCTGGCTTCTCGAGTCCTATACAGAATTTCAAGATTGATTGAAAATAGTATTTCTCGAATTTATAAAACAAAATTTTGCACAAATAAAAATAATAATTTGCATTTTTTTATTTTTTTTGCTTTAAAGAAAATATTTTCTTCTGTTGAATTTCACTTTTGCAAAGAAAAAGTGAAATTCAACAGAAAAAGTACAAATATTTATTACTCACAGAAAATTAAATCCAAATAATTGGTTTCAAAGAATTAAAAAGTTTTTTGAATTTTGGCGAAACGAAATTTAGATCCAAATTTGAATACAAATGTGCATAGTATTGTATTGTACATTTTAGCATCAAATAAAAGTAATTCTGTATTTCATTGCATGCTAAATCGAGTATGCTAAGATGGCTTTTCAATAATATTATATTTGTTGCATAAATATGAACAAACTTAAATTTGCTTTTTTAGAATTAGCAATAATTATTATTAAGTCAGTGTTTAGTAAAAATCCGCACAACCAACTTACTACTACTACTATTAGTTTCACACTTACCCTCTGTTTGCTTTACGTAAGTGTTATTACTGTTATTGCATGTTCTAGGTTCCTTGGAAATGAAAGGTTTTTTCTTGTTTCCAACTGTGTTCATAGATTCTAATATTGCTGTTCCACAGATATCTAGCCGCGTAGGAGATGAACAACGTGATAGGATTTGACCATCCACATTTGAATGTGTGTTGAAATTCTATACTGATTACATCAATTTGTGAACTTTTATTTTTAAAACAAGCAATGTTCAAAATTAAATTTCAAAAAACTATTTTATGCTGTAACAAGCAGTGTTGCAACAAATTACTTTTATTAAAATTTGGACAGTGCAATTACTTTCGATAAATTTGTCTTATCTCAATTCTTTATTAGTAATAACTAATTTTATACAGTTGAATTGAACTTTTAAATATTTTCATGAAAATAGCAGAAAAGAATTTTCGATTTTACTTTACACACCGAATGTGCGAAAGATGAGGAATAGATGGAGTTGGAGGATTCAGGGAGGTGATTTTCTACAGAATGCAATTGTGTAGGATGTGGCATGCATACACGTCGAGCGATGGATGGAAAATATGATGAATTTGTTGCATGATGCTGTATTCTTTTTTCCATATAAGCACCACAGAAGCAGCACAGTTTCGAAGTTTGACTTTCAATTAATTGTTGCTGAGAACAGATCACACAACCTGGGACAAACGTACGCGTTTGTTGTGATTGATTACGCTGCATGTTGCTGTCTACAGCATGCCGCTGAATTACTGCAATGTAAATTTTAAAATACAGTGCATGTTTTCTGTAGATGTTAATACTTTCATACAGAGTTTCTTTTTACAGGAATTGTTTTATCCTTGAAATCCAAATCATTGATAATTATTGCAAATTTCTCATTTGAATGAATCCTCGTCGAATGATTAAATTCAAAAGTTTGATTCTCTTGCAGTATCATGCAACCACTTTTTTACTCTGCAAAAATATTACTTCCAATTCCTAAAATCATTCATCACTATTCCAACTTGTCATTTCAGATGCTAATAGATGATCAGTTTGAAAATAAAATCACTTAGTTTCATCAAAAAACCTGCTTGGATAAATTAGTCTTACGCAATATACCTTGCTGATTTATTTGATTTGAATAAATATGATTTGATTGCCATTGCATATTTGCATATTCGCAGTTCTGATTTTCATAGCCGTGAATATAACAACGTCCATTTGATAATATAACATGTGGTTGCTGATGCTGATGATAATGTTGGTGTTGATACTGATGTTGATATCGGTATTGATGATGACGTTGGTAGTGTTGAGGGTACATAACTGGTTGGTACCTTAATTCGAGCTATTTGGAATCAAACCTCATAATACCTTTGGAATCAAACCTCATAATACCAATCAATAATCAGTTTGAAAGATTACAACAACTCAAATTTATCAAGTAAGTCATTTCTGATTAGGATAAATTCGTTTGCAATTAGCGATAAAATATGCACAAATACCTGCACCATGGATTCTGCCTAATTAGAGACGGTTGATACTGCGTATTATAGAAAATAATATCTTTTCCATCATAAGCAGGTGGTGGCGAGGCTTGGTTTTGATTTCGTGATTCCTGTTTAGCTGTTACTTGCGTGACCTCATTCGTGCAATACTTCTGCTAAAATCATTCATCTACTCTCAGATATCATCGTACAAGGTATAAGTCAAAGTTTCGTGTCATGATTTAATTTAAAAATCTTTAATATGTATAATGAAGAGCATGGCATATTTCTTTAGTACTTGAACTAAACAATTCCAAATCTTTTCCAAAAATAACTCTTTATCAATCTTCATGAACAAATAAGAAATTAAACGTGCAACCAAATATATATTTGGTACTAATTAATCACATAGTATCAGTATTCTTGTTATTGTTACTTCAAATTTGCTCTCAACACCAGCTCCTCCAAGCATTAAAACTAGCACACATTTACATTTAAGTAAAATAAAGGCAAAAAAAGACAAAGTTAAATTCATATTTCTATAATTTTAATAATCAAATCTATGTCAATTATGCAAATAGATCGCCGATTGTTTTACTTGCATTGCTAAAAATTCAAACTTTATCATATTTATAATAGCATAAACAGTATGATTGAAAAATTTTTAAACTTGTTTTTATTCATCATTTCAGTTACCTGTAAACGATGAAAAGCATTAAACAGATCATCCAAACGGTTTGATACCTGAGCTAGCTTTACGTTGACTTTTACGTCTAATGATTTTAAACCATTTCCAATTTCCCTGTTAAATACAAGAGATGATATTATTTTTCTTTCGAATGTCTACAAATGCTTTAATTTTTGTCTACTATATACAACTTTTATACTGGTGACCGAAGATTATTAATTACATTTAAAACTTGCAAATGATTCTCGATTATTACTTATTGTAAGAAACGTGAACCGAATAATTAACTGCTTAATTTAGCAAATGAAATTAAAATTATAAGAGATAAAAACAAAAGCTCACTGATTATGAGCAAGTTGCGTTTTGATTATGGTTAGCACTGCTCCATATTCCACCTTATTATTGTCATTATTATTATTATCATTACTATTATTATCGGTACTATTATTATCACTATCATGATTATTATCATTATTATTATTATTATTATTAGTAGTAGTAATAGTAATAGCAGTAGTAGTAGCAGTAGTAGTAGTAGTAGTAATAGTAGTAGTATTGTTGTTATCACTGTTATCATTATTGTAGTTATCAGCGTTATCGTTGCTAACATCAGTACTTTCAGCGCAACCATCACTGAGTTCGACTGCAGTACTTATTTCTTCCAAATGATAATTGAACGAGCTCTTTTCATCACAACAGGTAGGAAGTTCAGTGAGCTGTCCATTATCAATGCTTCTGATGAGACTGCTGTTTGAGTCCAAGTCAGAAAATCTGTTTGCACATTGAAAATGAGGTTGAATGTACATGTCAATTATTGCAGTATAAGTATTTTCATCTTCTTTACCGATTAGTTGAATAATGTATTTTTCATCCACTGCCAGCTATAATTATTAATAATATATCTCCTTGCATAATCACTTCAGATATGTTTTGTCAACAAAGAATTACTTTAAAAGTAATTTCCGTGTAAACTTCCGTCAAGCAAGTAATACAGCAGTTCAATTCATCATAGACTCAATAGCAAGTTAATAACTCTATAATAAAATAATATGAGCATTTTACGTGACTGCAAATTTTACGTGACTGCAAATGATTTCATGTTTTATATTATAGAATTTGAGATTTATTTTTGCTTTACATTTATCAAAATTGGTGAACTATAAAATTCTAACCTTAGCAATATGGATGCCAGTTTCTAGCGTGTGTGCTTGATTTACAATGCATTGAAATGCTGCAGCAAAAGTATGTAGAACTACAGCTGGCTAAAATAATACTTGAGATTTATCAAAATTAATCTATGGTTTTGACTGATATCATGCTTTTTTAAAGCTGTTATTACTTATTATCAGTACTTACTTGATCGGAAAGATCGAAAAGATTATGAACATCACAATTCAACGTTTGCCCATAATCAATCAAAAAAACTGAACAACGACTTTTCTGATCATCAAAATTACTTGCCACCGCTCTGTAAACAATTATATTACATACTATCAGTAATTAAGCAAACTGCATAATTAATATAGCCAATAAGCGAAAAATACAACTTAATGAGAAATGAAGCATTGTATTTCACACAAAATTAATATTGCTACTATATTATTTTAAATTTAATACTTAAATACAAATGAAACAGAGAAAAGTTTTCCGTCTTTAAATACAGTCATTTAGCTAAGTACTTATCAACTTCTGAAAATAAACAGGTATTAAAAATAAAAGGACTAAATTCGATTTAATTTTGAAGTAATTAACCTGTAATAATGTAACCGTTTACGTACTGGACGTTGAATATACGCAATACAAGCTAATGACCGATCAACTTCAACATATGGCCACAGGCCATTAGATGGTAATACCATTTGCTAGAAAAATTTGCATTTTTTCCCAGAATTTCTCTTGTTTTAAAAAAGCTTTGAATTACTTGTTCAGATAGAAAATAAAAATCAAATATGCAAATAAACCAACTTTGTTAATGAAAGAACAAAGTGAAGCATCGTGCAGCCAGTACTGATTTGGACTAATCTTCTCTGTTACTCGAACAGCTAAAGTAACTGGCAGTTGAGGGTCAAGCGAGAATTTTTTGTATGCAAAAGTTGATGGATAATACGGTGCATGCAGTGCATGACTGAGTAAATTAAGATCCGGTAATCCCTAAATTACTGCAATATTTATTTATTTATTCAAAATGTTATGAATCATATGTATTAGAGTACTCAGAAAAAATCATACTTTTTAAGCATCAGACTGAATACTAAGAAAGTTACCCATTTACAAAATATTTCTTCATTTATTGATGCTCCACTAAAAACACGTGCCAATAAAGCTGGCGGATACATACTATTCGCGAAGTTCGGATAATAACCATCTTTTGATAACGATAGAACTTGACCTAAAGTAATGAAGAACTTGACCTAGAGTTTGATAACGATAAAACTTGACCTAAAGTAATGATAGAGATTTCATTTTATGCATAAAGATTTGATAAATTCAGTTTAATTATCAACATTAATTTTTATTTATTAAAATCGATAGAGAAAGTTTATTATTTTATCTCAAATACGAATTTTTCAAAATTGATAAAAATATTTTTTAATTAAACATTGGCTAACTAGCACTGATCATAGCTATTTTGAGCAAACCTTTATAAGAAGATGAGAGGGCAAAAATACAAGTAGATCCAATGTACAGGGGCGAAAAATGATCCAAAGCACACTTATTTGTGCTTTCATACCCAACTCTACAGTTTGTTAGGAGTAATGGCATTGCCAAAGGTGGCACAAGCTGAAGTTCCACAGGAAGAATATATATAAAGCGCTCATCAACAAATTCCGTCTGCCCAATGTCAATTAGATACATCTGAGAATAATTTGCACAATTATTAATCATAAATTGCGAACATTTTTATTATTTAATGGTAAATAATATATAAAAATATAATAATCAGAGTTTTGAATTTAAACATTAATATAATTTAAATATTTGCAAACTATAATATTTGTGAATGTAGCTATTTTATTTATTTAAATAACTTTAAATGTAGTGTTTGTGATTACTAAAAATTAATTTAGACAAGTGGAAAAAGTATCTATCATTCATAGAAATGACCTGTGATGATTTGATTCTGATAGATAATGTTCATGTAGAAACTTGCAATAGACCTTTACTCATTAAAAATGATTAAAAATGAGTAACTAAAGAGGTTTGGATTCTGATGGTGTGTGACCTTTATAAATATTATTGAACATTTTTTTTTGAGGGCTATAGATACTTTCAAAGCGATTTTACAGAAAGTAAAATTATGTCATTTCCAAATTAGATATAAGAATAGCGTGGATTTCAGATTCCAAATGATACCACTGATGAACTAAGTGACTTCATGCACGGATAATAAATACTTTTAAATTTGAAATATTGGAAATGTTAAATCATCAGCGAATTATTTTATAGTTTATACAAATGACAGTAAATTTTTGGTTCTGTCAGTAATTCAGCTCGCAAATATGACAATTTTTAATGAGTAGAAAAACAAGGAAAGATGCATCTCAGTCATTAGAAATGTATTTCAAATGCAGTAGTGATTCATTGAAATGACAGTTGCTTAAATAAGCTTCAGAAACGTGAAACTTAGTCAAAATCCGGCTGGATCATTCACCACAAACTTAAAATCAAAAATGCATGCATTTTTTTTCAAATTTACTAAATTACAAATACTAATACGCACAAAATAATCACATATTTCAAAACTATCCGAACTGACTTATTTTTGTGCTCAAAATTGAACATTTATCGCACTAAAATATTTTATTATACGTTAACTGTTAATTATTTATTGTTAAAAAACAAAAAAATATCTAACCTGCCAGTGAGTAGACATTCGCCAATTAAAAAACATATGCGCGCACACAGCGCGCGCTAACACGTTGCTGCCCTGACGTCGAATCAAGTAGACCCCACCTGAAAGCGCTGCTTAATTTTTAAAGTAAGAAAATGTTTTTGAGAAAAAATTCTTTAAAACTGAATGTTCTTGTTAACTTTCAAAAACACTGATGTAATTAGTCATAAAAGTATTCAAAAAATTTGGAGTTAAGAATGTATCATTTTCAGAATTGAATTTTGATGATTTGATCATAATAGTTAATACTAACGGAAACAATTGAAACGGCAAGGTCGGACTAGCCTCTACTTATCAAAAATAATCGAAATCAAACTAAGCTATTTTAATCTTTGATTGGGCACAAATTATTGCAGCATTGTTCATTTTAAATTTAGAGCGATAAATGTTAGAGCTAAAATTAAATATTAATTGATAAAAAAGACAATTACTATCAAATAAATTAAATTACGTCAAAACGAGTCGGAACAATTTACCTTAACTAGACGTCACTTAAAGATTATGTTATAATTTACTGACCAATGTTGATTTTGGTGGGTGGTGTAGGAGATAGTACCGTTTTCTTCATGTCAAACAAATAGGCTTCAAGTAAGGCACATTCATCGTCTAGATTTTGTGGTCTCACGTATAAACAGTTATTCTTACGATTTATGTGAAGTACAGTACCTTTCAATGGATAATCGTAAGATATCATATAGCGCGTATTACAGTTCGTATTACAGTATAGTCTTAAGGAAACTGAAAAACAAATTACTAGAAAATTAAACTTCTCTCAGAAACTTCCATTAAGCCTTATTTATAGCTCTATCATTTTGACAGATTCAAATATAACGATTGCCTAATTTTGCAATTTAATATAATAGTGAAAGTGATAATCCTCATTGTTTGGTATCTGATTTTCTCAAATTATTATCATTTTGAAACTAAAATTATGATCTTCTGAATTCTTTAAGTTTCTGTGAAGGAATTCAACTTAAAATCGTGAAATTAGATAACACTGTAGAAAATATTTTTTAGTTTTTTGGACAAAAGCTTAAAATCAAAACACTGAAAGTCACTGTCCTAAGATTCTTCAAAAAATCATTGAAATTAAAAAAAAATAAAAACTCTTAGTGATTAATCATTCGTTGAAAATATTAATATAAGATCTCCGATAATGAAACTGGACAAAATTTGAAAATCCAGTAAAAAATTCATTAGTTTTGAAGTGACTACACAGTTGACTTATCTAATTATAGCTGAAGAATACGAATTACGAGAATTATAACTTTTAGCATGTCTTTTTTTAAAGAATTTCCCCATGATAATTGAAATATAATTTGAGGTGAAAAATTTGACCTTTTGAGCTTAAAAAAATAGAATCTTAAAGCATACCCATCTTGCGCAGTTTTTCACCATTCTCAAAACATGAGACACATCCACGTGGCAAAATGCAATCCGTGGTTTTGTGACTTTCTGAGTTACAATTTAAGCAGCTTACTCTTAGCGTATTTGGATTCATAACGATTCGTTGGTAATCCTTAAACTTCAATTCAGTAATTTTCAAGAATATTTAAGACAAAGCACTAACTTAAGACAAGAAAAAGTTGTTTGCTTGAAAAGTAATACTTGAAATACGGCAAAAAAAATCTAACAATATTAATGGTGTGTTGATGTTAAAAAATATTCAGTTTAAAACTACATGCTAGAAATTTTTTCACAGGTAAAATTTATTGTGAATAATTATAAAAACAAAATTTGGCATTGAAAAATTGTTTGAAAAAGCAATTTTTAACTAATACAAATATAAAATCGACCGCTAAAATTAAGTAATCAAATACCTGTTGATAAGTATTTTCCTCAACAAATTCTTCCATCCATAACGCACGATTTTGTGCTTGCGATACTGTCATGCTTCTGTGAATAATTAATTTCAACTGGGAATCGTATTCAAAAACCAGAACAAATCACGGGAATCACCCTGAAGTAAACGGAAATGATTCAAAAAGCATGCGCACTTTCAGTTTAAAAAATCACATACTCATCCAACAAAGTATGAAAATTAATAAAAAAGGGGCATGCGAGGATATAGTAGACAAAAAAAGATTATTAGTAGAAGGCGATAATGTGAATATTAGTAAGAAGTTTATGGATCATGCACTATCGCTCGAGAAGTTTGGTCGCATAAAGAAGTGCAAATTATTATGACATATAATAACAGCTGAAAAGTTTCAAGAAGAATGAATGGTATTAGTAATAATTAAAGTTGTAGGCATTACCGATTTACAATATAACAAAAGTACCAAACAGTAAGCAGACATGAGATAAGAGTAAGCATAATAAGTGCAACTTTAGATTATATTCAGTTTTAAATCGATATTCAAATTTTTTTGTTTGATGTAATTTGAGCTAGAATTAGATGAGAAGTAGTAGTTAGAGATGTGATGAAAAAGACAAAATTTGCATAACATTGATCAACAGTAATACAGGCAAGAAAGTTTATTTATTTATTCTTTTCAACAGCAAAATTTGTAAATATAAATTGTAAAAATATTTGTCTTTAAAATGATATTTCATATTATTTTCTGATTACAATACACTTTCAGCTAAATTCTTAAAAATATTGTACTAAAATAGTAAAAGTTTTTAATTGATTTACTTTGCCTCACAACACTAATTGTTAAGAAGTAAAATTAAAAATGAGTAGTAAGTATTTCTCGAATTAATATTCTGTTTGAAGTGATCTCGGAGATAAGCATTTTGTTAAGTAATATTAGTAATAATTTATGCAAAAATTTGATATATAAAGCAGTAAACCTAAACCCACTTAAAATAGTTGAAAGTAACAAAAATTCAATTTCTTTCGGATTATGCTAATTACATTGCATTTAATACAATACTTAATACTTGATTCCAGCCATAATCATCAAGTATATTTCTATTACTATTCACATGCATGCTATTTTTTTCTGTTTCACTTCTGAACTGCTTGAAAATCATTATTTACATCAGAAATTACTTTTATAGCTGAAAAGTACAATAAATAAACCAATTTAAAATGGTTTACTCAAACTCAAACTGTGGAGTTAAAAAATGAAATTTTCAGTTTGGAAGAATTAAAACAACCCGTAAATATTTTATTCAAGCTTATTGCTCTGAATATTATGGCTTATTAAGATGTATTCAAAAAAAATATTTTATGATTTTTTAATTTATTAAAATTTTTGTGCGAAAACTTTTGGACAAACGCGTGAAATTGAGAAATAAATAAAAATGATTAAATGCAAAAAAACTGATTACAAAATAAAAAATTATATAAAGTTAAATTGATGAGTTCAGCTTCTTTTTTTTTAAATTATAGCACTTGTAAAATTTTAAAGCGATTTTTTAGTGAATTAGTTTCATGTTTCAAATCTTGTTGATTTAGGTATTTAAGTATTTGAGTTAATATAAAAAGTTTAATACTTTAAAATGAAAAAGTTACAATATACAAAGCAAAATCATTTTGTAAATTTAAATTAATCCAATCTCTTTTACTGACAACATTTAATTAGTATTGCATAGTTCACTGTGCTTCTTGATATTAAAATTTGAAATGAGTAGTGAGTATTTCTCGAATTAGTATTGAATTAACGTTCTGTTTCCATGACAAACTTCTAGCTTCCAAGCATTCACTTTCTCTTACTTACAAACTATGTAAATTGGCCGCAGCCAAAAAAACAATAATTTGCATAAAAACCTTTGCATTTCACTGTTCAATTTTACAACACAAAAGTCTACGAAATTCAATTAGCTTTTTTCAAAGTAGAATAAGTTGCATTAAGTAGTGAATGGCATCACTGCAAATTAATTTAATAAATTTTTGAACTCAGAAAAAAATTTGAAGAGATTTTGTCAAGTACTCTTTTACATTAATTAATTTTGTGCAGAATTCATCAAAGAGTATCCTTTCAGAGTTTAATAAAAGATTGCCTTTTATAAAAAGAGTGTATATCTGAGCCGTCAGCTTGCTTCTTAATTTGCATGATTCAATTTCAGCAGCTAATTAAGTTCAAGTCGTGTTTTTTGCCCTCAAGTGTCTTCTTGTAGAAAAATACTGAGCGTTCGTTTAATTTAGCATCTTTTTTTCAATTTTTGCCTTCTGATGGCTTCAAAAAGCTTTTTGTTTGTTAGAAATTGTCGTGAATTTGCATAATAAGCTTTTCAATCACTTCGATTTTCATTTTACAAAGTCAACACATAACTTCTACTGTTTCGATTGAAGAGTTAATTTGCAATGAAAAAACTGACATTTAACTTTGAAAGTTCTTTATTAAAAAATTCAGATTAAAAGTAAAGTTAGTGATTTTCGGAAGCTTTTCAATTTTTATTGCATTTCATGCAAGTTTTTTGCTTTTTCACATTTTTATGAATCAAAAAACTTACTAAAAACTCAAAGTTAACTCATCGAAGACTTACAGCTTGTTTTAATTTGATAAGTTGATGAACAAATTATTGAAAACATTTAAGCGTAGTGCTAATTTTATCTGTTATTTGCAATTTATGAAGTAAAAAAAATATGAAAAGTATTTATATAATTTTTTGAAGCTTTTTTAGTGTGACAAAAATTTTTGAAATTTAGGTTATTTATTTATATTTGTATTTCTATATTTAATAGTTTTAAAATTTTAATTACACGACTTATTTGGATGAGGATGATTGTTTGAAGTTCGCTAAACTTCATGGCATATTTGAGTTGTGATATTGCTGCGTGGTGTCATTTGGAGCAGACTAATAACAGTGAATTTTTGGTCTAAGTATTAGCTTTATATTTATTTAAAAGTTATTAAAATATTGGCATTTCGGTAATTTTATCTTGCTTAGCGTTTTTGATTACTTTCTTAGAAGGTCAATTATTTTAGATTAGTTTGACCTTTGTTGGCAGCATTAATAAAAGTGAGGTAAATTTTTCAGTGCATAATTTTGACTATATTTTATTGTTATAAAAATAGACTTAAAACACAAAAATTATCGACAAAATGTGATGAGAAATGAACTGAGAATTTGTCAAGTATTAGCACATTTTGCAGTATTATTCCCTTAGGTATTTATCCTGCTTGCTACTAGAAAAAAGCATTAACTATGAATTAACTTTCAGTATACGTTTTACAACACAATGTGCAAGTTTTCTTGACAAGCCAGCAAGTTTTTTCTTCCAAATTACAATTATTATAAAAATATTATGCAATTTATTGGAAATCTTTAAATTTTATTTCGCTTTCTTCTGATATATTTAAATGATTCGAAAAACTGAACAAATTTTTAAGATAAAAAAGTTCCATTCATTCCTTTTATTTTAGCTTATTTCACTTTTTTGCAAGACAAATTCTATCGATATTTATTTGTTTCAATTTTTTATTTTTTCGAATTTTTTAAAATGACTAACTCTCATCATATATTGAGAGCATTATGCAAATTTTATTTACACATTATAGTAAAATTTTGTAGATCAGATAAGTTTAATTGTCATTTGCTGGCTTTTTCATGACTGAACTTTGAAAATTGCATTCAGCGAGATTACTTTAAGCAACTAGCCGTTTTTTTTATTTTTTTAAAATGATTTAACTATTCGAGATTTTGCACATATAAACGATAGCAGTAATTTCACATTAATGAGTGAGTAGTTTTTTATAGATAGCAATAAGTTGTCACGTGATTACTGTTAGTAGACGAATAACTTTTGAGCTTCACGTCAATTACTGAGTGATTTTTATTTCTTGTTGATTGTAATTCAAAACTTATAACTATGCAAAACAACCAATTCAGCCGGAAACATCGCATGCCATTTTAAGATTGTTTTGCAATTTTGAATTATCGTAATTACTCAGTACTACTTGAATATTATACATCTTTGAGTAAATGATATAAAAGTATTTGGATCATTTTCATTTTCTTAATTTATTGTTTATATTATTCAAATTTGGTGCTAGGAGTGTCTTCTAAGCAAACAAATTTTTCAGTTGCATAATACTTCTTTTTTATTTTATAATTCCAAAGTAAGCAATAAGTAAATATGAGTATAAATTAGTTGCTTATTTTTTGAAATGAAATTTTAGATGCAATAAAATGTTTGTAATAATTTTAGTCATATTGGTATTAATCACTTTTATTATGACAAAAGGATGAAAGAAATTAATTTTTTAATTTGATCAAATTTGAATTTTAAATTTTAAATTTAAACTAGCGTACAAATATACAATTTGATTTAAATTTAGACCTTGAAATTTAAATTAAATTTAAAATTTTATAACTCTTTTTAAAAAATATTTTATTATTCTTTGCTTTTTGCGAGCAATTACCACATTATCATGGTAAATTTGTTTTGTATATTTGTACGCTACTGATTTTGATTCTAAGTAACATTTTACTGAATCAAAATTTCTACTCATTACGAAAAAATACAACTAAAAGCTGTATATTTTAATAAAATTTAGTAACTGAAATCAAATACTAACTTTGAAATAGCTCTATTTAATCTGAAAACTTGAAAACAAATCAAAAGATAGTTTTGCCATTATCTAAATTAATTCTTGCAATATATTTTAGCATTTATTTAGTACTAAAACTTTATATTTAGTTTAATTTTTTATATTACCACTAACCAAACACTTTTGTTCTTCAACAACTTCAGTTTTGATCATATATTTAAAAGCAAACACTAATACAACAAGCAAAAAGTAGAAAATCAAATTTGAATTGAATTAATTTAAATAAAAAATAGAACTTGAAATGAAATTGAACTACTAGGTTGTTTTAATAGCACTATGATAAAAGATAGTAATTACAGTAAAGTCAAAAATAAATGATCAGAATATAATAATGAGAGAGAATCAGCGTATGCTTTAAGTGTGTATTGTATTATTAAGTTAAAAAATATACGAAAATAAATTGATAAAAGTTCAATTCAAATTGGTAAGTATTACCCGTGGGAATAACTGTACGAAAGTATGCAAAGAAAACGATTGAAATTGCTGCAATTTCAATTACGGAATCGAGAAAACATCAGTGAGTGTCTGCTTTTTATGCCAAACTTTTATTATTATATCCTTAGACTGAGTACGCTTTAGCCACAACCATGATTTTATCTTTATCATTTATACAGAGTTTAACTTTACTACGATCAATCATTGACTTTGAGCTTTTCAATTTAATCAAATTCGTTATCAATTTTACAATCAGTTACGTTGAGAAAAACTGATAACCTTTTTCAGTATTAAAATTTTTTGTAATAAAATAATTCAGTATGATTTCTGAAAATTTTCACATTATTGATTAGATAATAATAGAATTAAATCTGAAATTGAAATTTGTAATGAATAAAATTTCAATTTACTCTTATCTGATAATTATTAACTTGGTATTGCTATTTTCTGACTGACAATCATAATTTTTGTATTTTATATTTACTTAACGATACACCAATTATCTGTTGCATACACTTACTTCTTTTTATTATAATTTGCAAGAAAGTTAAGCTTTTTAATTGTTATTTGAATCAATTAACTAATTTTTTTAATTAATAAAAATTAACTTTCTCAGTGCATTTTTGGCTATTGTTTTCTAGGCAAATTTTTTGCCTTTAAATTAATTTTCGTTTGAATTTAATCAAAGTAATCAGAATTTTCTGCATTCTTTATATTTAATTTTGTATTGAATTCTTGCTAGAATTATTTTGAAGAACAGTAAAGTTTTTGTATAATTTCTTCGAGATTACATTGAAATGAAAAGCATTGATAGTCAACTTTTGCTTATTTTCACAAAATCTTAGCGGGTTTTTCAGTTTTTCAGTTCAGAAAAATAAAATAAGCTTTTGTGCTTCAGAAGAACTTAGATTGACTTCTTGTTTGCTGAAATTATAAATTCAAATTGTAGTTTTCTACCTTTTTTAAAAGTAATTTTGATGATTTAAACTGTAGGTAAACAACAAATTGAAACGCAAATAATTATGTGCAAATTATTTTTTCGTAAAAATATCCAAATCTGCAAGTCTTTTCAGTGCTAACTTAATTCATTTTATAAACAGGAAGTTTTTTGAATTTCAAATTTGTTTATTTCAAATTCATATAAAAATTTATTTTATAAATTTGTGCGATTAATGCAGTTATTTGATATTAATTAATAGTGGTTGTTCTTCAACATGAATGAATGTGATAAAATGAAAATTTTTAGCTTTTATTCAAATTATTGAATGGCTATTTATAGCTAATAATTAATAATTTACTCTACGATAATCAAGTGATATTATTATCAACTAATCGCAAACAGAATCTAGCAATGATTTCATTCCTTCTCGAGACATTAGCTCAAACTTACATAAGCTAACAAGTTTGCTTATATCTTTTATTTTTCTCAATCATTTTTTAAGTAAATAAAAATTTTTTCAATCACTAAAGACTCCATCTCTATTAATAATTTTACTTGTATAACTAATGTGCATATTTGTAAACTTCTATATTTTTAAATTTTTTATAAAATAGCAAACTTTGCAAGAATTAATAATTTTATATTTATTTGTATACGAAATTAATACTTATTGCATTCTTCATCACTTACAACACATATTAAACAAGTCGTGTTTTTTGTGATTTCTTTGAAATAATTGACAAAAGAAAAAAACTGAACACTGGGTAGTGTTTTTGTAAATTCCTCAATATTACAAATGACCTATTACTTACAGTAAGTATCTTAGTACAATAACTGTATATATTATAGTAATTAAAAAGTTGCTTAATTAAAGCTTTTGTTTTTGTCAGCTTTTAGCATCAGAAGAAAACATTGAAAAGCAAACAAACGTATTTTCAAATGTGGCACTTCTTGAGAGCAGTTCAATAGAAAAGGAATGCAGAAAGAATATGTGCGGCTTCTCGGGATTCGGCATATGCCGATTAAATGAACTAACTTCTGCTCAATTTGGATTCACAAGACAGCTTGTAAAATAACATTTCGATTAATATTTCACTCAATTGTGTTTTAAATCTCTACAGTCAATGTAATCAGCTAAACAAACAATTTACTTGACTTAATAATAACTATAGTAAGTGTCACAGTACAATAATTGTATAGATTACAATAATTAAAAAGTTACTTTACTTAACTCTTCTGTATTCAAATGTTAACTGAAATAACTCCTTAAAGTATAGTAATAATAAATTTCTTCTGATTTAGCCTCAATTTATTTTGACTTCTAAATTAAAACAATTTAGAAGCGTTAAAAGTCCATCAACTAGAATCAAATATACATAAGAAGTAATAAAAGTGAGTAATAAAAAGTCAAATCGAATAGCACTGATAACTAATAAGTTAAGTCATATTTGGTGACATGTCAAGGAACTGATAACAAGTTGTAACTGTGAACTTCAAAAACTAAAGCATATATGCATAATGTTCACATTTTTAGGTTTTTCGTATAGCGCTGCCCCATATTAGTTTATTGCTCGCGGGAGTGGGTTATGTTATTGTTGGCAGTTGGATTTTAACAACATTTCGCTACATTGATGACAACACAATCGAGAATAATAACTCATTAGTTGAGTAAGTAATGCTATAGTATTATTATCCTTGGAAAATGTTACAGCGAAGTCTTTGAGAAAATATTTTTAAAACTTGAAAATCCCAGAAAGTCTTTTAAATGTTTAAAGTAAAAGGTAGACAAGTTTAGCATAACTAATTGTTGTTGCTGATATCTTGAACTAAGCATTTTATAGTAAGCAATGGTTATGCCTAGAAAATAGCCAAAGATATGGATAATTAGGCTGTTTATTTTCTTACAACTGAACATTTAGCATACTGATTTCATTTCAGGATGAAAAAAGCTTTAATTGCTGAACTGATCCCACGACAAGCTCAGAAATCTGATTTAGAAGAATCGATCAATAATTATACTTTTGAGCTGCATAAAACATTCCAGAAATACTCTTATCATCATATGTTTAAGAAACGATCTAAAGTATAGTTTTGTTTATCAAATATCAAAACCAAATATTTTCATATTTTTAAAGCTAATACTCATTTTCATGACAGGATTTGAAGAATTTGGACATTCTCACTCGACATACTTTCTATTTTAACCCAAATTAGAATTGCAAGCTTAATTCAGCAAAAAATCTTCGAGCACGGAAAAAGATTTCACACTTATATTTTGTTTATTAGCACATTTGCAATAACTTGCTCGTCTTTTTCAGGCAAAACTACTTTATGAAGATGAGGATTCTACTTTGAAAATGGTATGGAATCTGTTTTTCGTTACAACCGCCTTGACATCCATAGGTGTGTTCAAATGACTCTGTTTGAGAAATTCAATCCTCGTTTGTTGAATAGGGGAAGGGAAGGTTTTGGAAGTAATAGTACAACCTGAAATTAATTTAATAGTATTACATTTCTGTGTATAAATTGTTATGTAAAGTAAATAAGCAGTGAGAGTTCTCTAAGCACTTATTTCAGGATATGGCAACAATGTTCCTGATTCAGTCCTGGCTCGAATATTTTTGATCTTTTACATATCATTTGGTATTCCGCTTTTCCTAATTACTTTGGCTGATTTGGTCAGTCTTCTTCTTACTATCAACTATCTTTGTGCTGACTAAGCCTTAAAAACGTTCTTAATTACTTACGTGACAATTGTTATACACTATTTTACTTTTCAATTCATTACTAAAATAAATATACGCTGCTCTGAAGACTAATAAAAACTTTGCTTGTAAAAAATCAAAATATCCTAATAATATAAGTATATTTTTGGGCTTAAGGACCAGCTCAAAGCTATAACATTAAGGTAAAGTTTGAATATTTTAATTCGTAAGTCTTTTTAAGTCTTTAAGAGTAAAAACAAACAAATTTGGTCGACGTCATGAACAATATGAAAAGGAAAATTAAGATAATTGAAACTTTAATAAATAAGTATTCAATATAACTTGCAAATTTCACGTTGATTTGCATTACGTCATATAAACTTGTTTTAAGTTTGCGAGCAACTAATATATGATGTAATTATTAATTTCAGGCTAAATTCTGCACAGAGTTTATTAATCGTTTATACGCGGAATTACTAAAGTATAAATTTGCTATGAGTCGTAAATTCCAAAATACTTGCGAAGTGCCAGTCAATAATATTATTATAGCAGGCGGAGAAGACGAAGTATTATCCATATCCGTTCATTCAGTACAAGCCTAATCCTTTTATAAGAAGCATCTCAATAGCTTATTCATAAATAGCTTAGCAGAAGCTTATTTATAAGCTATTTATGAATATGAATTAATTACTGCTTAATTTTATAAACTTATTTAAATTTGGTTTTTTAACTTTTAATTCATTTTATTGTTTGAAAATATAATAGCTAATTACTTCCATTCGAAAATTAAATAAGTTTATAAAATTTTGGCTATTAATTTTTATGTAAAGTAAGCAGTAATTTAAAAACATTGCAAATAGCAAATAACATTCGATAGCAATTAAAAAAAGTAAAGTTTGAACAAGCTTCAGGTAGCAGAATTCCTATGGACCCATCTCGAAAATACGCATTTTGTCGAAGTACCTTTCACGGTTGTTTATTTTTTATTAGTACTGTATATAATTATTGCTAGTTACCTCATTTCACAAATCGAAGGATGGAGCATTTGCGATGGCTTTTATTTTGTCGTTATTTCAGTGCTTACTATTGGTTTTGGAGGTCTGATTTCATTTGAACTTTGAATGATTTAATAACAGCTTAATTTAATGATTTCAATTATATTAAATAAAGGTATTAAATATTTAATAGTAATTGAGACTATCATATTTTGGTATTTATATCAATCATTGCTGAATAAATATACACATACTTTAACTGCAAAAAGATAACATTAATAAACAGTAACTCTTAATTAATGAAATTTCATACTTAACTAAATTGTTGTAAGTTTTAATTTGGTTTTTTTTCAGATTTCGTACCTCAAAATCAATCTTTTATGTTGCTCACTTTATTCATTCTATTATTCGGACTAATCTTGACAACTACTTTTATTGATGTAGTGGGTGCTTATTACATAGATCGACTGCATTTTTTTGGACGTAATCTCGACACTGAGGTTTAATCTGTTATTTATACTGGCGCTTTTTTTAAGCGTAAAATTGATAAAGGTAGCAAAAATATTGCCCAAACAATGAGTAGATTGAATATCTTACGTTTTTTAAAACGATTTAAAAAATAAACTTTGATACTGTAATTCATTTTTCTTAATATAAAACTCAGAAAAAAGTTCCTGATATGTACTGAAAAATCCATTTTCGATTATTACTTGAACTATATATACATAATGTAATCAAACACTATTCATTCAAATTCTGGAACTTTTTTTTCGTTGCTTTAAAAAGATTTCGAATCAGCATACACATATGAATAACTATAAAAAGTTCACGTTTTTAGAATCCACTTGACTGGCTAAAAGCAGTTCAGCAGCAACGTATCAATAAAATGAAACGTGAAGCGATGCGCAAACTTTTCGAGACTGTTACTGCCTTGCAGCATATGCAATTTAGTGGGAAATTATTATTTCTTATTTAATAAAAAACAATTTGCTTAACAATTATTTTAAGTTGTAGAGAGCAAAGCATTAAAAAGTTAGAGTCACGTAATTTTAAATTTGTAATAAATCTTAACTGCCGTACTTTATTTTGATTAGAAGAATCAGATGGTTATGTGTTATACTAATTTATTCCTTACCTCTTCAATTTACAGATTTTCAACAGCTGGAACAAAATGAAGCCCAACTAGGAAACGTGCTGTCAATAAGTGAGTTGCAATAAATTTTGAAATCAGTAATGAAAAACATGAATAATGTAAAAATGAGAAAGCATACTGTATTAGAGTCCATTCGGGGCAGTGAAATAGAAACTGTATCGAAAAGCTTCGAAAAATGGAAATATTGAGACATACTGTAGCAGATATTAATATAATGTTGCATACAGAAGGACGTGAAGGTTGTAATAAATTTTTAGCCTGAATTTATATTGATGTGTAAGTGATAAAGTTGAAAACACAGCATATATTTGACGTGAAGCTTTTGACGTAATAAAAATTACGAGTAGAATAGAAAATTTTGTTCCGTTCAATTATTCTTCAAATTTTAAATTATTTCATCTACTGATCAGTTTGACTTCAAGATGCACCTGATCCTCCGAGAAATTTACGAGCATTCAGTTCGAGAGCGGATTCTGTTACTCTTTTATGGGATCCGCCTTCGCAAGACAATGAAGAAAAACGATTCTGGTATACAATCACATATAGAAAAAGGCAACTTTTTTTTCTCAAGAATTAATTCAACTTCTGTTCAGCCATATGTAACTAAGTAACGTTTTGACCTATGTTTTTATGCCTAAACTTATTATTACAATTTGCTTATTATAAGAATTTTTGAATACAGCTTTTCATGATTTTAGAACACCTCAGGGAGACAATAATCCAGTAACATTTATTGAATTCATCAATAAAGAAGAATACGTGGTAACAGGCCTTCAATCCTTTACCCTCTACTCATTTTCTGTTGCCACAACAACGAGATTTGGAAGTAGTAAACCCGTTATATGTCAAGAGTATACAGGTGATAATAATTTTCGAAAAAAAAACCTTTAACCAAAAATGTTTAGCAATTTTCACCTAAAGTGTATTTCTTGTTGCTTGTACACCGATTGTAGTCATAATAGTATGCTCAACACTTAATTTTATTTAAAAATTTAATTATGGAAAGTTTAGAACCATGCACAGTACCTCAGTCGTTGGCAATAATAGCAGTAACTCGTGATACCGCAACACTTTCGTGGACAGCACCAAGGAAAAACATTGGACAGGAAGTAATAATTTAGTTTAAAACCAAAAGTTTGATTCATTTTTTACCGCTTGTAATATACAAATAAATAATCATTTATTTCTAAAAAGTTTTGCCAAAGAGCATGTCAAAGTTCAGTACAAAATATACCTTATATATTTTTGATAAAAATGAAATGATATTAATTTCTAGAATTGTTGCCGAGAAATGATGATGATTTTGGTAATTAATATAAAATTAGCAATATTTATGGTTATCAGTCTTTCAAATAAAATGACTTAATTATCAGTTTGAAATATCATTTAACAGATTACATGCTTCACGTAAAATTATTTTCAGAATTACTTCATTCTGTTTAGCAAAGAGCCAGCACCACAGTTTAGCTTGTGGAAACGGTGTAATTGTGGTAACGTTAGATATTTTACTATTACTGAGCTCTCGCCAAATACCAGATAAGCTTACAAAGACTACACTACTTTTTTTGTTTACTTTTGTGCTAATATACTAAATGAAATTAAAGTTAGCATTCTATTTTTGTGGCAAAAAAATTAATTTTCTATGAAAATAATTTTTCTGAAAAATAATGCACTAAAAATTATGCTTACTGGAATATTAAATGAAGACTTTACTCACTTTTCAAAGCAATTATGAATTTAGAGTTGCTTTTGTTTTGGCATCAAAACTTTTTATCTTCAAGTAATATCTTTGAGTTCTTTTAGAATATATCAGAAAAATTAAATTCTGAATTCTGGGACTTTTTGAATTTCAGACAAATCTGTAATATATTTTATTTTAGGTATATGATATGCGTAGCAGCAGAGCATAATTCAGGCTTTGCATATATGTCGAAAAGCTTGCGATTCAAAACAAAGTAATGCAGAGATGTTTTGTCAAGAAGCACCTGAAAATGCCTCTTATCTTCTCTTTCAAGCAAAAAATTACTACATCTGCCTGAACTTTGAACTTTTCATCACTTTATTTTACTTAATATTCACGTGTCCAAAGTATTATTATAAACAAAAAACAAAGACTTAATTTGTATTTCATATTTATTTTCATTAACTTTTCTATTTGCATTTGAATTTTAAAGATTTTATTTTTTGCAACTTCATAATCATTTTCAAATTTCTTAGTGCAAATTTAGAGATTGTTGATTTGATTAATGAATTTAGAAGTATTGACTGCTTATACTGCCATTTATCAACAAAAATATTAATGAAAAAGCTCTTAAAAAATGTGTTGCTTAATTCGTTTGCTTACTGTTTAATTTTATACGGTAATTTTTCGCAGACTAATCCTTTTTTACTTCTTTCAAGTCCTCGTTTTGATCCTCAGGTATTCTCTACGTTTACTGTTTATTTTACGTGTGACTGTGAAAAGTAATTCATTGTTCATGAACTACACACATTGCTTTACTTTATTTAAAGTCAGGAATATTTCATTATAAATTTTAACAGTTTCGTCCAGTCTACAGGATTCTAAAAATGTAATCCGCTCATACTCCACTTTTGATTCAAAGATAATCCGAAATATTTTAGAAAATGGTACAACAAGCTATAGCTACGATATACAAAGTGGCTCTTAATGAAATCGGTGAAGCGATCCCAGTGTTTTTATTGTTAATTAACTTAAGAACTTAATTAGATTCAAAAAAACTTGTTTATAAAAAAAATGATTGGTTTGCTTCCCGAATTTTTTTGAGAACTCAAACTTTTGAATATTCAAAAATATTTTGAGTTCTAATCATAATAATTGAGAACTATGAATTATGCAAATTCATATAGTATTGAATTTATCATGACCACATCTGTTTAATGATATTGCTGAAGAAATATGTAACTTTGATCATAAAAATATTTAGCAATACTAAAAGGTTGATTTTAAACATTTTCCAGATATTTGCTAACCGATGTCAACTGTGAAAAAATCATCACTTATCCTTTACTACTGTCTAAAATCTTTATCTCTTCTTTATTTACTTCGTTTTATTCATGGAAATTGTAAAAGAATCATAAAAATAAGATTTACTCACCTGAGACATTAACTGATTCTAATACAAAACATCCAATAATTAATTACAACCATTGAATATAGTAAATATTTGAGGCAAACAAAATGTTCATAGGATATTAATGCTTTCGTATGCTTGAAAATTCATCTAACATCGGTGAGTCGGGCAAATTAAATTTTTTGAATATAAAATTGCCTTTCTCTGCATTTTCCTGGAAAAAATTGATCTTTCGCTCTTCACAACGAGACTTCTAAACAGAAGTTTGTCATGCCAAGATCTACTCTAAACTTTAGTATTGTTGTTGAATTCAAATGAAGCTCCAGAAAAGTTTTTTCTGGATTCAACATTTGATATGACTCCTAATGGTCTAACAAATGTTTCTATAAAAATTATAAATTTTTTGGTAGAAATATAAGTACATGCTTTGTTAATTGATTAATCAATGATCAGAAGTTATTAATACGATTTATAAATAAAATGTATAACAAGTTTAAAAATTTACCAGGATTTCTCGAGCTGTGGCACCATGAAAGACCACTTGAACGATAGCAAGAGCTTCTGACTTCTCGTTTATTTGGTCTTCATCTAAATGGATTTGCCAGCAGCGATATTTGATACGTGCTCCTTCACGTCGTCTCAAAACTTGTATCACTTCTAAGCTAATACGAATATAATTGACGAATCTAAATTATTCACATCTTAAATTTCACAAATGAAAGTAACATAGAGCATTCAGCAAGTTTCATAAATATGCGTTTTTGAAGAACAAAAGTCAAAATATCAAATAATATGTAAACCTCATTCGTTTTTCCTTTAAAACTGTTTTTGAGAAATTTTTTATTATAAATAGTTACTGAAATTAAAAATGAACACAAAGTTCGAAAAGTTATTTTTGAATTGTCTCAATTTTATTTCAATTTTGCCTTTTTTTAAAAAAACATTTGATACAATGTAGTGCGTTCAAAATTATCTGTAGATATTTGTACTTTGCGTAATAATTTCACGTACCCAATAATATCTTTCTGTACCAATTTGTAGACATAACGGCAAACAACCGTACAAATATCAGCAGTAGTCATATCTAAGTGAACTGTCAAAGCTAAACCAGCACTTCTTTGACGATGCTTGAATACTTCAACACATACACATAATAGTAAATCATTGGGTACTTTGCGGAAATCAATTCTGTAGATTGGATTCTTATCAAAGCTATCCTACAATTATTTCTCTAGAAAACAACCATGAAGTAATTATAATTATTGTACTTTAAGCTAACAATAAAGAATCAAAAATAACACTGACTACTCACACTACATTTAATTGATGAGAAAAATTCGCTGCGTCCCATGCCAAGATATAAAGATTCTAGACGTGTGATATCGCTTGCTCCATGTTCTCGTGAATAATTCACTAATTGGTTCCATTTTTGTATCGGTTCTTTTGACTCTTCACTTATTACACGATAATTGCGCTCTTAAACAAATAAAACTATGATTAATTGTGCAAATTGAAATTAAATTTGCACATGTATTAAAAATAAATAATTTACCATCACTTAGCAAAACTTCTTTAAGCGTTGATTTATTTATGGACTGTATTAAGTCGCAAACTTTTCGATCTAAAAGTTCTTCAACTGTTGGTCGTTCATAGTAGCATGGTTGCATCAAACTGTGCCATAATCGTACAATGTCCGAACTTATTGCCTAAAAAATGTCTAACTAATCAATTTATAAAGTTAGAACAAAACAGTATTGAATAGTTATAATATGTGTTTTGCTAAAATTACTACAAATATTTCACTATTTAACGTAATATTTTACAACTAAAAATCACTACCAATTAGATCACATTAAGTATAATTACTGAGCTTATTAAGTAAACAGTTGTTAGTACTACCAAAAGAAACTCACAAATTTGGCTGCAGTTGGAAACCAATCGGTGTATGGAACAGGCATTTTAAATTTCAGCTATAATAATCGAACATAAATTTGCAAACCATTCAATTTATATTAGGTATAAATTTTTGTACCAGAAAATTTGAAAAAATAAAATTGAAATTAAAAATGGAATGAAAAACTAAAAGGAAACGAACAAGCTGCTCAGCATACTGTTTTACGTCTTCTGAGCAGTTAGTGGTGATCAGATGAAAAATTTCACCAGTAATCATTTCAGGTATCAACAAACCAACGTGCCTAAAAATTAATCGAAAAATAATAGCAAATTTCAATTTGTTACTTTTATTCACAAAACTAAAGTTGAATTATTATGTAAAAGGCATCTAAATGTTAGCTTTAGAAACAGCACAAATACCAAAGTTCAGTGTGTGGTCCGTAATGTTCGATATTGTTTAGAGTTTCTTCAGGTGCCCACTGAGTCGGTCGTCCGAAGAAACGATTTTCACGCAGGCTAAACTTCAGTAACAAATTAAGCTTAGCTAACTTTTGACAATTTAAAAAAAATACATTTATGCTAATAATTCAATTACTATACTTTAGTACCAAAGAAGAATGAAATCAGTTTAAATAATTTAAAATTAAAATCAATTTCATTTTGCCATTAGCTAATGATAGACCGAAGGGCTCTTCGGGTATCTTCATTTTTCATGATTGTCCATTTGAAACCAGTCAATTTAATATCGCCATCCGTAGTAACAACAACTGATCTTGTAACCAGATTGTTGTGTAAAGCATACTGATGTAAGTAAGAAAGAGCCTTAAAATGTAATATACAAATTAACTGCAATTCCTCGTCCAAGAGTTCAGTATAATGCACATTTTTATTAATTTATAATTGTTCCAATTAAATTTCCAGATGAGCAATCGTTCATGAAATGTTTGCATCATTGGCATAATGCTTCAACTCCAAATTGAAGCTTACTTTAAGAATCTTACGTAGAATATGTCCAATAATTTTTTCACTTAATACAGGAGAAATTAACTCATCTCCATATTTTTTCATGCGTCTATAATACGAATCAATTATAGTGCAGTAAAATTATGAAAATATATTAGAAATTATAGACTTCAATATTGTTTGCATTATATGAAAATTATATTTTTAATTTGTAATTTTTTCTTTAAATTCCCAATTATTATCACTTATTACTCTCTTACAATTTCGTTTGTTTAACGAGAATTTACAATGGATAATTTTATTAGTACTTACTTACGTCTAACGTGTAGAATCTGTTCCAAGTCATAAACTGCTGTATTGTATTCTACAAAGAGGTAATACCGAAAAATGAAAGCAGAAGAATACAGCAAAATTCGGTGGTTATTTGTGAATTCCGCGCATTTGATCAACTCATTTAACTGAATTAATGATTAATTTATAGTAATTTGAAACAAAAAATTTAGCATCTTGTTGACAGATTTAATCCCAGCGATTTTCTTAAAGTAATAAAATAATTTTTAGCACATAAAAATATCACATAAATACAGTCATCATTCATCTCTAACATCACAAATTTATTATTCATGCGCAATTTATATTTGAATTTGTGATTTCTTTTGTGAAACGGAAAAATTATATTAACGCGTTCATCAGTTTTCATGTCTCCTACCGATAGATATTCAGAACTGACTTAAGTCCGATTATTACACTATCTGCATCAAACTTTGCAGTTAACTCAGTTAATTTTTCACGAATTTCATGATGATATTTGCATATCTTTATGAAGAATTAAACAAAACGTCAATATTCATTATATGATAAACATGTTACTATTGAGAGCAAGCTGATATCAGATTATTTTTAATTGCTGAAAACATATGAAAAAGGTGAATGTCAAAATTAAAGAACAACAAAATTCTGCAGTATAAACTGAACTGCTTCTCGAAGTGTAGTACCATTCACAAGAGATGTGACAATAAGCATAACTTTCTCGCCATTTTCACGTTCTACACAGTACCGTACTTTATAGTGCTTTTGCCCAGTAGCAATATGAAGTGTACGTAACACAAAGCATTTGCTGAATTGTCGTAACAAATCTCTTCTGCACAAAATATTCCAATTAAACTCTTGATTAGACTTACCAAGAACCAACTGGTAAACATTAGAGAGTACCAAGTTCTGAATGGTCATCATGGTAATTGAAAACCTTCACTTGAGATTCTACTTGTTATTTCCCTTACTATATTTCGAAAAGCAGTGTGTCACTAAAAACGCACTCATCAACATCGCTGCCACTCATTGTAATCTTCATAGAAGAATCGCTATCGCTCATCACTTTCACTCGAAGTAATTAAAAACTGCCATTTTGAAAACATGGATGCCTCTTATAGTTCTCAAAGAGTCGCTGGATTTGCATAATTAACAGCCAAGAATGTATAATAAAAGTTATTCCCATTCCTTTTTACTATGATTCAGTCATTTTTCAACTTTCTTTACAGATATTCCGATGCAGCATATCATAATTCGATATACATCAACCAAATGTAGTTTCATACAAAAGCCTGAACTTCTTTATTTCAACTTTTTCTACCAGCAACATTTCGATGACAATTTTTTTCCACACATTATACAGGTGGCGTCACCTAGCATAATAAGTCATAAAAAGTATTGTAACTACAATGAAACAAACTAAATTTATAAATCTTAGAATCAGACATAGACAAACTTGAATGAATTTCAAACATATTCAAATTCTACATAAAAATCAATAACATCGTTAAAAATGAAAACTGTAATCTTTTTAAATTGACATACAATACGATTAATATTCCATTTAGAATCTAATAATAAACATGCGAAAATTTTAAAGTCAGCCAGTAGAAAAATAAGCAGTTTGACTTGAAATTTCGACCTATAAGAGTATCAGTCAACTTTAAATTCATCATAGCTCAAATTTACACATTAAATTAGGGATGTTCTTCATTTTTTAAATGCTTCAATCGATGCTTGTACTTCAGACGCACTTCTTCCGGAATCAACATAACATATAAAGAACAACCTATTATTAAAGCAGCAACTCCTAAAGACAATCGATACATCACTTCCAAATACATTCCATAACATGATCGTTTAAAAAGTGGCACTGACTTTGGTGTCTGTAAATAGTGGCAAGCATCAGTTCTATAAAAATTAAAGCAAGTTTAATCCTTTCGTTCCGTAAAAAATAAACCAATTTAAAATCAAACCAATTTGTCATGAATTTCATATACTTTTCGTCGATTTTCGCCGAACAAAAACAATCTTGGCTTATTATATCGATCGTCCCACAATCCAGCACTTGCATATTCATTCAGTTTACGGAACAGTTCATATTTATTTCTAAAAAAATGAAAAAGCTATTCCTGAAATACTCAAATACTTATCAAATATTAAATTTGCTACTTCTTGCCAAAAAATCAAAACAAATGCTGAAACAATAATAAAAATTCTTCACCAAATAAATATGAAAATTCAGGATATTTCAGTCATTTTGATGTC